ATAAACCCCTCCATCATACAGGAAATTATCAGGTTTAGCTCATTCTGTTGTTTACATAGAAACATGCTACTGAGTTCTGCAGTGACACAGTTGTCAGATCACTTTGTTCAAAACCTTCAACTGTCTCTTCCAGATCTCTCACTTCTGTCAATACTTCCTCGTAGAGCTGTTTCTGCACTCCCTTTTGGTTTCTGTAGCCATCCTATAACAAAGGAGAGTCCACACATGTCAGGATGGCCACATCACCACATGCATGCACACACTCCTGCTTTTTGTGCCAGGTAAAGGCAATGCAGAACAAAGCTGTAGAAGGACAGCACACGTCATCAGAAAGGTGATGCACTCTTGAGCACCCTTACATCTGCTGTAACCTCAGGTCTGCCTGCAACAGCATTAAAATTCTTATACATGTGGATTTTAAAAACAGGATTTCAAAACAAAACCCACTCTCCTCACTAAAACACCTGTTCAGAACTCTAGGGCAACTTGGTTTATGTTTGGTTTATGTTTACCTTTCCCTCTATCACATTTTCTATACTGTCAGTGCATCATTCCCCTTGGGTTCAGCTTCTATTTCATCTTGATTCTTGTTCTCTTGTTTTACTTCTTTTGTGCTTTCCTCCTCCTTAGTTTCTGGCTTTACTGTCTTTGAGTTCTGTTCTTCTGTCAGACTTGGTGGGGTTTGTTTCGTGTCTTCTTTGTTGCTCTTCACCACCTCCTGCAGATTGTATTTTCTGAACAGAACATAGTCTCTCACCACACTCAAGCAACAGACGTTTTTTATTATTTCCACCACAACTGTATATTGTGGATTATTAAGATCAACTTTGTTTTCTGGATTGAGGCTGCCCACAATTCCTGTAAAAGAAGATGCAGTTTAAAAGATGCTGGAAAAACTGCTTCAGAGCATGAACATGCCTTACTGAAAGCTTAAAAATTAACAGCAAAAAGGCAATATGCCTCTCAGTTGTAGCCAATTACTCCTTTTTGTAATTGCTTAAAAGAGCAGGACAGAGCAGGACTCAGAATATGCCACCAGTAGGACTCAAGTAACTGAAAACCAACCCAATTGCAATTACCAAAAAACCAAATACTTGAGTAAGTGGATGATACAAGTCATATGTTCAATAGAAACAGCAAGAGAGAAAGAATTTCAAAGCACATACAGCTGACACTGCAAGTTATAGCCAACACTGTTCTCTCTTCTGCCTGTTGTCTCTTAAGACATCAACACCAACAAGGAATATTGATGTCAAGTTTTTTTAAGTCTTAGAGAAGCTTTTGCAATTCATCACACAGGTTTTATGCAACAAATGCATATGGCATTAAGACCCCTATTAACAGTCTGACCTATGCTGTGCATGCAGTCGTGAGCTGCTTATATACTTGTTCTGTGTGAAATCTATACATACCTGCCAGCTCCTTAATTACTTCTTCCCTACTCATATGACTGTTATTACGAGCTTTGTAAACAATCTGAAAAGTTCCCTTATTAGGAGCTTTAAACCAAGGCTCAAAAAACGTTTCTGTGTACTTTTTCATATCATCCATAAAAGCCTTGCAAGTTCCAGAAATGGGCAGCATGCGCAGAATGACTCTGGTTTTCTTCTTTTTAGTCGTATGCATATCCTTTAATATATGGTGCACCAGGTTCTCGGGTTCTGCAAAGAAAACAGCTAGGCATGAGAAACAGATTGAAAGCATTATCTCCCTTCTACCTCTCTAAATAACATGCTGGGGAAATGCACACTTGGCTGCAGTGCTGTAAGCCTCAAATCCTTTTAGATAGAGTTGTTTTACTATGCCAAAACTGGGAGATCAAATATTATTTTTTAAAGCAGATTCCTCTACCTTTAGCTTCTCCACTAATGACAGAACTCAGTGTCATAGCCAAAGGGAAGGTGAAACACTGTATTTGTTTGAAATACATGTGTTTCGTGGAAGAAACAGGCTTTGTGGCCTGTTACTAACAACGTTCAGAGCAGTCTGCATTACTCAGCATCCTGTCCTACCTATGCCCCGCGTTCTAATGAAGACCAC